GAAGACCCTCATCAGAACCAACCATTCTGGCCCTCTGACCTTGGATTTCCAGCCTCCAGACATACATGTCCCTTGCTAAGCCATCTGATCTACGGTCTACGGTATTTTGTTTAATTCGTTTTACTCTCTGAAATCCTTTCTCGTTTCAACTGTCCTTTAAGTAACCTGAAATGCTGACCTTTCACTGTCCTGGTACAAATTCATGCCCAGAGTACAAGCCATGGTACTGCTGGTTATTACCCAATTGTCCTCGAGGTCACCCTGCAGAGGAATAGTTCTTTAAGGGGAGTTTCCCTGCTCACATAGTCAGAATTATTTGGGGTATGAACTATTCATATTCCTGCCTTTCCTTCCCTCCTCGTCGGAGAGGAGGGGACGAGGGTAATTCAGATTCTACCTCCCCATTCAGATCTGGAGTCACTGCTCTACAGAGTGTGTTGAAATTGTTTTTCTTCCCAGTTTAGAAATTGGCTAGTTTTGCTACAACTCGTGGCCGCTCAGTCTCTGCAAGCCTGTGCCCCTGCTCCCCTGAGGGAGCAGAACACTGGCTCTGTGCATCTGTCGCTCACTCCACACAGTGCACGCTCCACTCCCCTCCTGCTCACGGCCAAGTGCCCAGCTGAGCAGCAAGTCCTGACTGCCCAGGGCTCCCCAGTCATCTCGTTAGAATTCATTACCCCAAATTGCACAAATGACCATTTGGAGTCGCTATCATATTTCTCTGTGATGTGACACTCACGCAAAAGGATCAGGTGTAGAGAAAACGTGCCCCTTGGACAGAGATGTTATTTCAGCCAGTGTCTTCTTTCAAAGGGTTCCCCCTTTATCTCAACTATCAAATTGTTCTTAGTTCCATAAAAGCAGGGCGGTTATTGTGATGGAAATTTACACACACAGTGTAAATGCCCAGCTTGTTTGTTATTTGAAAGAAGCTGCTGGCCACTGAATGGATCAGGTGTGTCCTGGCCCTTCATTCAGGCGGCAGATTCAAAGGCTGGTCTTGAAGCCAATCCCTCCCTCTTCCTTATTCAGGTTACAAAGGCCACCGAGGAAGGCAGGCTGAACATAGGGAGCAAGGCTCCTCACCCTTTTCCAGTGTGGAGCTGCTGCCTGGTGCTGGCTGCCTGGTGCTGGCTGCCTGGCTGGCCAACACCTTGGGCTAACCATGTCGCTCCTTGTCTCTTGGGAGAACACACTGCTTCTTTTTCAAATCTAACAACACTTTCTTGATATTTATTTTTCTCACCTCATAGCTGGGCTTCTGCTCCCAAGTGCCGTATTTTATAGGAGATTAAGATCTCCCTCTGGGTCCACTACAAGGAGAACAGAAAACCCAGTCTGTGAGCAGCACACCAGCGTCATTCTTGATGGAGAACATCTCTGAGTGGCCAGGACAGAAAATAAAAGAGACAGCTTCTAAATCAGGCAAGAACATAAAGTCACCACCGGAAAAGGGAGGGTGTTTAATGCCCAAAACACTGGCGTTTTAAACAAAGATAATGAACTGTAAACACAGTCAGAGGGACTGTGCCTCAGGAGATTTTATCTCATCCCTTTGTATTTCTAAGACTTACACGGATAGGTCTGATATCTGTGAGCACCATGGTAACAACTTTTATGTGGGGTTTTTTTGTTGCTTGTTTATCATCGTTACAAAAATGTCCTGTTAAGTCTTTTGCTTATTTTTAAACTGATTTGTTTTTGATTGGATTGTAAGAGTTTTATATTCTAGACACAGGTTTTTAAAAATCAGATATATGACTTGCATATATTCTTTCAATTCTGTAGATTTTTAAAGTGTTCATAATGATATTCTTTGAAACAAAAAAGTTTTCAATTTTTTTTTTTTTTTTTTTTTTTTTTGGTTTTTCTCTGGTACCGAGAACCGAACTCACGACCTTGTGCTTGCCAGGCAGGAAGTTTTCAATTTTGATAAAGTCAATTTATCTGGTTCTTTTCTTTCATATCTTATCTTTTTGGTGTCATATCTAGGATGGCTTTTTTTAACTAACGGTCATGAATGTTTACTGTTGCATTTTCTTCTAAGAGTTTTATACACTAGTTCTTACATATAGGTCTATGACCCATTTTGAATTAATTTTTGTGTATAGTATGAGAAAAGGATCTAGCATCTTTTAGCAGTCTGAGCAATATCTTTTAAAAAGACTATTCTTTTCCCCATTGAAATGTCCTGGCACATTTTTTTTCAGAAATCATATAATATCGAAATCTGAAAAGAGAATTTCCCTTCCAAGTCTCTAGTAAGGTGAGTGGCATTAAATCCAGTTTTAGTAGTAGATAAAATTGACTAGTTGCTCCACCCAATTGGCTTTGCTCTTATAGGGGTCACCAGACACCCCTCTTCTTTAGGGTCATCATCTAGATGGGACTGTCTTGTGCTGGTCACCTGAGACAGAGTCAAAGCCTCACAAAAGCCACCACCTTGGGTGGAGTTTGGAAAAGATATGCCTACCCAGGTAAGTGCGGGGACCCAGGTAAGTGCGGCCTCAGAGCCCCACCTCCACCAGGAGTCCACTACCAAAGATTCAGATTCACTGGTTTCTGGTGTATTTTTAAAACACATCCGGTGATTCTAATGCATAAGGCTGAAAAGTTCTAGAAGATCTGTGAAGAGCAAGGATTATGTCATATTTTCTGTTGTGCCTGCATCCTGGCCTGGCATTTAATGGATGCTCAGCCTGCATGTAGTACATGAAGCAATTTTCTGACACTTGTAGACAGCCAGGAAAACCTTCCGAAGACCCAGCGTCCGGAGTTGGCACTGCCCAAGTAAACTGATCAGGACTTGTGAGGCGTGTGGGGCCAGGAGGAATAGAAATCAATCAGAAAGCTTGGCTCACCTCCTTGGGGTGACAGACATGGGCATGTGCAGTAGGAAGGATCCATCCAACAGAGGATGAGTCAACCATCAAAAGTGGGATTACTAGGACGGAAGTGCTCTGGGAATTCAGAGTATCACAGGCGGGCTAGAGGGGCAGCCTTGTCCTTGAGGTTTGTCCTCTGGGGGATTATCAAAAACTTATTCTCTCCATTCTAAGGCCTCCTGTGTACACTATTATTAAAACGCCTGTATAGTTTGAAGGGAGAAGAGTCTGACATTCTAGGCATAGACTTCCTGCTGAAGCAGTAGCATGAAGGCCAGTGGGGCAAGGCAGGGGGAAGGGAGGAAGACGAGGAGCTAGACACAGCTGCAGGGACCAGATGGATTAGAGCCTGTCAGTCTCTACTCTGGCTTTGTTTTTACTGAACGAGACACAGAGTTGACAACAACGAATGGGTACGTGACATGCTGTGGCTTCAGGAGGGCTTCAAGGGCAGAAGCGAGGGGATTGGGAAAGAGACTGAATGCAGCAACCTTGGTCAGTGACAGTACCCTTGATTGGGGAAGCAAGCCTGGGAGAGCAGAAGGCCATTCCTATGTTTATAAAGAGTTCATTGTGGACAAGACCTTATATCTCAGCCCTCACAGTTACCCCAGGGGGTAGGGATGGGCATTCTCTTTTACAGTGAAAGAGATTGAGACACAGAAACACTAGGTCACTTGTCCAAAGTCACACAGCTCCTACGCAGCAGTTTCTGGATTCACCTCCAGGCCCATACCATTAACCACTTAACCTTGGGACTTCTTCTGTCCCTCTCAGCAGTGTCAGATTTGGATGAGATCATTGGTCTCTCCAGCTCTCCCTCCTTGTCTCTTTCAGCCCAGGCAAAGCATGGTTTTAGCTCAAGGGCACAAGTGTGGGAAGAGGGAGGGGAAACATGTTGGGCCAATGCGACTTGCAGCAGGTGTACAGCTTTGCCATGAGGTAGAACTGGTTCTCCCGCCCTGCCGGCTCCAAGGGCAATAGTGAGTGTCTGCCAACGCGGATGTGCCTGGGAGATAGGCGCATGTTCTCTCTCCCTCTGTCTCTCTCCCTCTTTCTCACACATGCACACACACTCATCTGCCCTTTACTTATGGCCCTGGTGTTGGTTTGTGACTGCTAAAGACACAGGTTGATTGGTAAACACTGAATAAAGGCCACACTCTGTGGGATGCTTGTGTTGCTGAGAACTAGTTCTGAGGTGTGTGTGTGTGTGTGTGTGTGTGTGTGTGTGTGTGTTAGGGATGGAAGAGGTGCCGGTAGCAGAGACCATGATACCCACAGAGTAAGTGACACATAAGGAAATGAATGTGCATATATCAAAGACAAGAAATAGGGGCACACTGATTAGGAAAACACAGAGTCATCTGAAGTGCCGCAGAGATCGGTTTGCTCTTTCATGCAGAGCCAAAAAGAACTTAAGCCTGTGTTGACTGTGTCTGAGAAACAGCCTCTGGCCCAGGGGACCCAGGTAAGTGCGGCCTCAGAGCCCCACCTCCACTCAGATAACACCCCCTGGAGAGGCCTGAGTGAGGAGGGGTGTACAGGGAGCCTGATGTGTCCTCTGGGAACTCCCTTAGCAAGGTCAAAGGGCTTCCCTAAATCCGTGACCTTCTGCTATGGTACAGAAATGTCAGAACAGGGGCATGGTCCTAGGAATGTTCATGATTTAGAATATACACACACACACACACACACACACACACACACACACCTAAAGGGAAAATTAGTATAGAAAATGCTCCCCAAAGTGTGACTCTGACCCAGTCATATTTATTATCTGTTTTGAAAGATTTCAGTTAAAGCGGAGTCAGAGAAGAAGTTTTAGGCATAGGCTGTGTGGGTCTCAGAGAGAAGTTGGGCAGAACCCTTCCATCAGTATGCAGTCTCCTCCCACCACCACCCCCACCACACACTGAAAGGAAGACCCTCGCCACGGAACCCCAGTTCTGCTGCTCTGCCTGGGACTGGTCCAGAGGCCAGGGTACCATGAGGCACAAAATGAAACAGAACTAGGGAAGAATGAGAAGCCACCGCATTCCCAGAGGACATGACAGAGGGAGACAGGACAGACAGACAAGGACAGATCTCACAAGGAGGGTGGGTGGGGGAGGAAGAGGAGGACACCTCTGCCACTGAAGGGACAGAGAGGCAAGGACTTGGGATGCAGCTACCGCTGTGTGCCAGGGGGTGAAGGAGGAGGAGACAGGAGAGGAGTCAGGCTTCTAACGGATTTAATGTCCTTTACATAGGGCTTTGCTTAAGGGGACAGGCAGGAATATTTTGTTTGACTTGTTTCTATTTTGAAAAATATTTCATAAACAGGTAAGTTACTTTTTGAGACGAGCCACAAAAGAACTTTATGAGGATTTTATTTCCTTTTAGTATGCACGACCCTAAGGAGGAAGGGGCAGGTAAAGGCCGCCTCTGCTGCACACCAGTGTATCCCCGAGGCCTGGGTCCCCACAGTCAGGGTGGCCAGCAGGCAGGCCGGGAGCTGCCTTCTCTACTTCAGCCAGAGCAGCTCCACTGTTAACATTTGTTTAATAGGTAAGGCTTGATTCTGTGTAACATTTTCTTTGGGAAAAGGGGGATTCTTATGCTACAGAAAGTTAGAAAACAATGATTTAGTTCATGGCCACTATCTTATTGAGAAATAAGACGAGCCGTGGAGTTTGTGCCTTGGTCAAGGTCTGGTTGCTTAGTTCCTGAACCAGCACATCCCCAGCCAAGCCGGCCGTGCTCGCCTCTCTCCTGTCTTCCTGCCTCTAGACACAGACATGCAAACCCATCCCTTCCTTCTTCTCCTTTTGTGGGAGGAGGTGAGTTAGGCGTGGAGAGGAGGAAAATGCGGTGGGGGGAATCTAAAAATTGAAACTCTTCCCAGCTACAACATTCTGATGTATGCAAATCCCACTGTGCCACGTGCAACCCCAGCTCCTAAGGGCCAAAACTGCACAGCCGCCCACCACCTCATTTTCCTCCTGTAGCAATGAGATTTGGGGTCTAGGAATTTTTTCCTTTCACTCTAAGTGAACTTTCTTCAGACAATCCCCACCTAGACTCAGACTCGCATCTTCCCAGGAGTAGATGGCACAGTAGACGGCACAGTTAGATGGCTTTCCTCCCTGGTTAAGTGCTCGGCTCTGTGGCCCCTCTGCTATCTCCTTGAACACAAGTCCCCTCTCCTCTAATGTGCCAAACCCAGAAACTGGTTTTGACAAAATCCCATGAAAGCTATGTTCTTTTTCTTCTAATTAACACAGAGGTGACCACACCAGCCCAGACCCAGCAGTTTGCCGAGGATGTAACTCCTGTTTTTCATCGATTCCTTGCAATTCAGGGAAACGCATGCGCAGGGAACAATACCTGCTACCCAACTGTTTCTAATTATCTTCAAACCAAATGATTCAGCACAACTCAGGAATCCGATGTTGCAAGGAGGTGAGATTATTGTGAAACACAATCAGGGTATGCTTACACCAAATTGCACCATTTAACACACCAATTATCAGTTCAAGAACAACAACAAACAGCTTTCCTCACACCAAAACATCTTAAAATAGCAGGCATCTCAAACCAAGATTTTAATCTGTTTCAAACCAAGTTTGAAACCAACAAAAATCAATAGTTAAAAATAGTTATGTCCAATTTGGCCTTCTCTAAAAGAGCATGTTTGAGCCTCATCTTCAGGTTCCTCGTCCCTTGGCTTCCTTCTTAGCAGCAGGGCCTAGGCTAGCTTTTTCTCCTTAGGCTCTTTTTGGGTCACTCTCGCCCCCAACCTGGGCTAGATGCTGAGGTGCCTCTGGGACTCTAACTCGCCTGCACTGAGCTCACAGTCCAGGGAAGGAATAGATACCTGACACGGGAACCTGAGCAGAGATCCAATCACAGTGTGCTAAGCTGCAATGGCAAAGAAAGGAAGTGACTTAATCCGTGCAGGATTGGGGCTGGGCATCCTGAAAAATCTCTGCCTGCCTTGGAGAGCTGGGCTTTACATGAATGGTCAGGGTTCCCTGAGGATTTGGGCCAACAGGAACAACATGAGTAAAGATAGAGACTTACAAAACACAGAAAACGCCAACACATTCAGTGTTACCATAGTAACATCAGCCAAGGGATGGGTAGTCAAGGGAGGTAAAAAGGGAAAGGTAAAAAAAAAAAAAAAAAAAGGGAAAGGTATATGAGCAAGATTGTAAAGGGCCTGTATTTGCCATAGTTAGACTTGATTCTGGAGACAATTTTAAAATACATACATTTATCTTTCTTTTTTCAAATTATAAAACTAACACATAGTCCTTATAAAAATGTTAAATAGTGAAGGAAGTACCCGTAATCTTACATACAAGAAGGACCACTGTTAACGTTTCCCTCATCATTTCAGACACACACACACACACACACACACACACACACACATGCACACACTCACCAGCCCAGATGTGCAGAAGGTCTTGTTACTTGCTTTTTTGCCATAAGCATATATTGTGAACATTCCCCATCTCATTAGATAGTATCTCTACAGCCTGATCTGTGTCCCATCCTACAGCCAGATCACAGTTTATTTAACATGTCTTCCACTGTAGATATCAGAGTATTTGTAATTTTCCCACATTTTAATGAAATAAAGAACATGCATGTCCCATTCTATTTGCATAGTTGCTTACTTATCACCATGATTTAAAACCATAATTTTTGATTCAGAGAGAATACAGAATTTAATGTCTTTCATATATATTGCAAAACTGGCCTTGAGAAACCCTCTACATTTACTTACCACTGTTGGGTATTGCAATTGATATAATTTTTGCTAATTTATTGGCCAAAGCTAATATATCATCAACATTTAACTTGCATGTAATTACTACAAGGATAAATTGTTATGACTATTGATTGTTTAGTTTTCCTCTTTTGTGAAATGCCTGTCCCTGTTTTAGGCCATTTTTCTCTTGCAATATTTTTCTTTTTCTGATTTATAAGAGCCCCTTGTACATTAACCACATAAACTTCTGTCTTTTACAAATGCTTTTCTAATTTGTCAGTCCTTTGTCATTTTGTCTATAGTATTTTAGACCTAAGCAGGTTTTTTAAATTTCTATAAGCAAAGCCAGCCATCTTTCCTTTTCTTTTATATTTCAAAAGTCAATCTTTGAGATCAGATAACTATTTGATTTTATATCTCCTCTTTAAGTATTTAGTACATTATAAATTAATTTGATGACAGGTAAGATAAGAATCTCATTTACCACGGTAACAGGGTGAATCACACACATTCACGGATATCAAGTCCTGATCTCTGGAAGCTGTAATATTACCTTATGCATAAAAGAGACTTTGACAATTGTGATTAAGTTAAAGATCTTGGCATGGGAAGATTATCCCGGATCATCTGGGTGGTGCATAAACCCAATCACACTGCCTTTACAAGAGAGAAACACAGAGGGTTGACACATGGAAGAGATCACCAATCACTGAAGATGGAGGCAGAGATTAGCACAATGTCACCACAAGCCAAGGAAAAGCAGCAACCATCAGAACCTGGCAGAAGCAAGGGACCAATACTCCCTTTTAGCTGGGGAGGGTAGAGATTGTCTCCACCCACACTGATTTCTGTTTAGTGAAGCTGACTTGTGCTTCCAGATCTGTGGGAAAATCATTTCTGCTTCTCTAAACCACCAAATTGGTGGGAACACAATTCCCTACCAAATAGTTTCCTAAAACAATAAATAGTCCATCTTCTTTATTTGTCTGAAATGTCTTCTCTATCAGATATACAACTACTTGTTTCTGAGCTTGTGTCAGTAAATATGTAAATTATTATGTCTTTTCAATTTCCTGTCTGGCCACACAAGTATCCCTTCATTAACCTAATTCAAAAACATACTGCCTGTTTTTAACTAGTCTTCCAGATAATGGAAAATGGAGAATAACTTTTTGAAAGTTCTCTAAAACAATTCATTTGGGAAGAAATGCATTAAGTTTATAAATTAATTTGGAAATAAATTATTTTTAAAATGACTTGTTCCTAATCTTAATGTAGACATCAATTAGTAAAACCCTGATGTCCCATGGGAACTGAAGATCTCCTCCAACAGCTCTGCACATTTCAGAATTTGTACCTAGGTTACCTGCCTCTCCCTCCCCTTCCTCTCATTTCTCTCCTTCCTCCCTGCCTCCTCATTCTTCCTTTATTCCCTTTCTGCTTCCTTCTCTTCCTTTGTCTGCTCTGTCTCTTTCTTTTTCTTCCTTCACTTATTGTTTATGTAATGTGTGAGAGCAGAGGACTGGCATATGATTTCTCCCTTGGCAGCTAATTTAAATTTCCAACTTTGTTTTGTGACTTTCCTAGGCTAATACTGCAACTCATTTTTAGGCTGGAGCAGATGATGCGTGTGGGCGGTGGCACGAGGGTGTGCAAGCTGATGATGGGTGGGGACGGGGGACAAAGTCTGTCATTTTTAATTAGTTCTTGATAATGAAGGAATCAGTATTCATTTATTTTGAAGTTGGGTATGACAAGGCCTTGTCATTTATACAGAGAGAAAAATCGGTCCCCGGGAGCTGCAGTTAAAAGGACACCTGTAAAGGCTCTCTTGAATTCTAACCAAGTGTCCTTTGTGCCTTCACTTTAGACAATAGAGAAGAAAACCCCCTTGTGAATCAACACGCACTGGGAGCTTCTCCTGCTCAGCCCTGAGCTGTACCTGTACAAGTTGGGAAGGGGAGGGAGCTGTAGAAGAAGTGCTGGCATCCAGCCAGCTCACAGAAATCTCCTGATCTTTCCAATCAATATCCTCTGTTATGGTTTGTGTCTGGATGTCCCCTCTAAAGCCTCATGCAGTCATGGAGCTGGCTTTTAGAGTTTATGATTGATCCATGGTCCAATGCTGAAATTATGGATGTGAGTGCTACACCTGCCCTAGGACGGATAGTTTGCATAAGTAAGGTAGAGAAAGAAGCTGCTTGCAGCAGCTCCTCCCTTTTGCTCTTGTTGCATTTGCTGTCTTCTGCCCGCCGTGAACTGTTGTCCTCTGCCATGCGCCATTCTGCCTTGGAGCCAGCCGAGTATGGACTGAAACCTCCACAAACTGTGAGCTAAATAAACCTTTCCTTAATTTTGAGAACTGGGCATTTTGTCTCAGCAACAAGAGAAAAGTAACCAAGACACCCGCCCCAGGAGGATGGTGACGGCAAATTCTGTACAAAGACAGGGAGAGGGAATATAAGACTGTTTGTATCAGTAGAAGAAAAGGATAGAAAAGAAGACGGCAGTCTCTCCTTACTTTTGCATCCTGTACAAATAAGGAAGCTGAGGACAAGGGATTCAAGGCCTGGGAATAGCACGAAGCAGATGTTTTATTGGCACCTCGTGGTGGGCATCACATTAATGATTAGTAAAGACTAATTTATGACAGCGATAATGATGATAGTATCATTTTTATTAAAGTGCAAGAGCAATCTGTAAAAAAGAAAAAAACATCTTTTTAGCTAAGCACACTTTCTTTAGCTCATCAACACTTTGCCAAGGAACGGAGAACATCCTGCCAGAATTTAAACTGCAAAATAGAGTCCTCAGGCAAGTTTATATAAAACCCAAGAAAAGTGATACATAATAAATTAAATATACTGAAATAAGCAAAGTATGAATATTTAATCACTTGGCTATTTTAACGTACAAGGGAGCGGTGAGACCCAGACTTGCTCACATAGGATGGAAAGTTTAATGCTTGACTGGCAGGACCAGAAGTGGCCCTGAATCCCTCTTTGTTCAGGACACTGGCAAATAGAACATGGCACCAGCATAGCAGGGAGCTGCAGGCCAAGCCAGACATTTGCCAAGGGCAGGCTGTATCCCAGAGTCTATGTGGCTGAGGAACTTGGTCACATGCCCTACAGCACATAGGCTTCTTGCTCCATTTGTATCCCCAAGACACAGAATGACATTTTGTTGGGGTGGTGGAATGGGACCAGGCCCTCTGGGGAGTCTCATTCCCCTAGATTGACCCCAAAGCAAAGATGATGGAAATCATGGACTGAATGAATGAACAGTGAGGGTAGGGTCAGAGAGGGCAGCTGAGGAAGGATCCTGGAGAGACCGAACAGGATCCTGCTGCCAACCAGAAGGGCACTTGCTCCAGTTCCTGTGTGCTTTGAAAGGTTGTTCTACCTCTCTGGGCTTCAGTTTCCATCTCTGAAACTGTGCCCTTTGAGATTTACATAAATTTGGTTTTATACCTGTGTGTCATGTTGTTGGGAACCCGAGGGCATAATCTCTAATGTTTCTATAGGCACAAAAAGTACACAATTGTGTGTCCTTCTGGATTTACTGTCCAGGAGAGAGAGTGGATATATAACAAAATAGCAGGGGAAACTCAAGAGTAGAGCTTTCTTGACTGGGCAGTGATCTGGGGGAATATTTCACAGAGTGGCTCAAAGGCGGCCAGAAACAAAGGCGAGTGATGCCCTTGTCTTCTGGTGCAGGAAAGAGGATCCGGTGTGTGACACCTCTAAACCATCCACTTCCTACTGGCACTGTACTGAGGGCTTTAAATGGATTTCATTTTATTCTTGAGCAGTCCTGAGATCTGTATATTATGATCACCCCATTTTATGGTAGAGAAAACAGACTCTGAGGTGCTGGGGAACCTGCTAAAAAGAAAACGTTAAGAAGCACTCAGACTTAAACCTGTGCTGAAAGCCAAGACTCTTGTATTTTTTTTAACTTTCTTTCAGGTGGTGTCTTGTTAGGTTACCCAGGCTGGCCTTGAATTCTCAGTCTTCCTCTGGCCATCTCCTGAGTAGCTGGGATCACGGGGGTGAACCACCATGCCCAGCCAAGCCCACACTCTTACATTCCACCACACTGCTCTCTGATGGGGAGGGGGACATCAACCTTTAAAAGTATGATGGATCTGTGTGATATAGAACCAGTCGGCAGGTCCGGGACAGCCAACATTCTTATTTCACCCCGTGGCAGCTCACCTGCATCTACCTTAAAATGCAGAGCGTTACTTGATTCTTGAGTAGAACTCTTATAGTCTGACCTCTAGCATTAGAAGATATCACTGAAGCAGCAAACTGAAGTACCTAATGGTAGAAACAAAACCAGGCTTTTCTCTTCGTGCTAGCAAAGCACAAGTGAATGCTTTGTTGTTCTATAGCTCTTCCCATTTAATCACTTATGTTTCTCCCATTTAATCACTTATGTTGCAAACACCTGTATGTCTTCACCCATCAGAAATATCCCATTGTCTCTTAGTGGTGTAGAATGAAACCACATCTGGAAAAGTCCATCAGAAGGCTGTTTCTTCTACATCCATTTCCTATTCAAGTTGAAGCTGTGTCCTGTGCACGCAGAGACTGGGCACAGACAGGGATAGGCATCTCATTTCTAAATCCGCATCCTCCATGAGATGTAATTAGGCAGAAAAATTTCGAGTGTCCTCAGAGATCACCTACACACACAAATTCTTATCAGCCCACCTAAAATGTTTTTCAGAGGTGACAGCGAAACACTCAGGAGAGATTCATCTGGCAGACATTTTTCCTTGTGAGCTCTGAAAACGCAAAGCAGAGGAATAAATGAGAAAGAAGAAAAGCTTTCTTTAAGTATTGCTTGCTGATAGAGAAAACACTGATTCTGTCAGAGCTTTATACAAACAGCTCAGGTCTAATCCAATGTGCAATTTCACTTCAATTCACACAGATTTTCACCGCTATGGTCTCCATTTCAGCAATGCCCTATGGTCTGGCCCTCAATCACAGTTAGCCTGTAAATGCCAGAGCTGAGCACATGTCCCAGCTCTCCGTGCCTACGTCCTCTTCCTCCCACTCTAGCTCGAATGCACCTCCCCGGGTGGAGCAGCAGACTTCTGGGCGATAGCCAGCAGCCCAGCTGCTGGGTGCTTCTCCATGGCAGGGGCAGCTCCTGATGGCAACGCCTTGCTCCTCTGTGCCTGTGTGGCTGCCTGCTTTGTGCTTAGCCCTCTGATCCGAGTGAATAGGTACTTGCTGTGTTCACATACTGAGTCCACTGCTCTTGTGATAATATCTGGGTTGTGTTTAAGAAAGGTGAGAAGGCAGCTGGTTGTTTTTCCTTTGGAAAATAATTAAATGGAAGATTTTACTTTCTAGTGTATATTTCTATTCATACAATGTATATTAGATAATATATAATACGTATCATATATTTATATTTACACTATTTATACTCACTGTATTGCTTGCATTTTCACAACTAGAGTATATTCATGTATTCCTCTGTAATTTTACATGCATTTTTTAAAAAGATTGAATGCCACATTTACATCCAGAATTTTAAAAATAGTAATGAGTATGTTCATTTTAAAGAAACTTTAGGATGCACTGATTTTAAAGTCCCTATCATAGACCATCCATAATTATACCTCTCAGAGGTAACATCTGATAATACTCAGTTGGATGATATTTCATATATTCATCCATATGCAAATACATTCATGAGCATATTCATGTATATATTTATATATGTATATATTCATACATATGTATATATTTATATATGTATATGTTCATACATATGTATATATTAATATATATGTGTATATTTATGTGTGTGTATATTTATGAAGATATTTTCCCATCTACACATTAAATGTTTAAAATATATTTGCTGATTTAAAGCAGCTTTAATCAGTTTTAGGATGCCAAAGTACAATATTCTATTAAACCATCGCTGTTAAGTCTAAATCTGTCTGTTCTTGGTAATACAGGAAGCAATACTTGTGTCCATATGTCTCACTGCTGTAGCAAGGTCATCTCCTCTTAGTGCCCCCGTCCGTGGCACCCTCAGAAAGCCCTGTGCTGCACTCACCCCTCCAACAGGGTGAGACAGTCCATTGCCTAGTGCTGGCCACTGTGGGTATTACAATTTTTTAAATTTTCACAAGCTTGATAAGCAAAAATAAAAGTGACTCATTTTTATTTGATAGCCATAAGATGATACATTAGTACTTTTATTGAAGAATTTTTTGAAGAAAACATTTTTCATATATTTTGAAAATATGGTAGCCAATAGAGAAGTCTTTACGAAGTAAGTTATCCCTGTGGGTAACAGGAATTTCAAATATATATGAAATATATTTCATATATTTTGTGTTTCCTCTGTAAAGCTTAGCTATTTATATTTCCCTGTCTTTCCTATTGGGTTCCTTACCCATTCTAATTTAGCTTTAACATTTCCTCCAGTATGAAGAATATGTTATTTGTATTTCATAATGATGTAAATTTTTCTAATGTTGCTCAATTTTTTCAGTATTTTCGACTACTGATGTTTTTAATTATCTACAGTGAAATTTGCTGGGCTGCTTTAAAATGGTTTCTAGCATTGGTGACAGTTGCTACGCAGTCACTGAAACTGCGTATGTTATGGATAGATGGGATGTAAGCTGGTCCACGTGTGCAGTCAGCTCTCAGGTCAGGCTGAGCTCTGCTATGCTAAACTAGAGCTCTGGCAGAGAGATGAGATTTCTTGTAGAACTGAGCAAAGCACTAGGCATTATGAGACCCAGAAGTACTCAAATGTATCCAGAGATGTCACATGTGTTTACAATGAAGAAAAATTTATAATGCATCTCCTTAATGTCCCTGAAACGTCAGGTGACAGATCATACTTTCTAGCCATAGCCATGGCATTATCTCCGGTCACACATGTTTTTGCAATGTAACTCTGACTTTCCTCCCAGGGTGTCTGGCACTGTGACCTCTAGGGTGAGGCTAGACCACTGAGTGTCTATAAGGCCACACCACTTCTTCTTGCCCTTTTGGGACACTTGCCTTT